TCTGTGCGTATCTTGTTCTAAAGCTCACATGACATCATATGTTGCGCATCCAGGGGCGCAAGCGCACGCACTGGATATATCTCCTATATGTACACAAATAAGCGTATTCACATGCACACGTATATAGGCACAATACATCAGCCTCTGAGCCTCTGGCTGCTGATGTGTCTATGTCTGCCTATCTGTCTGGATGTAAGTACATATGTATGCATGCACGCAGGCATGCATACATGGCTGGACGAACGGAGGATGGATGGATGGATGGATATACGTACCATGTACGTATGTATAAATGCAGGTACGTAGGTGTGCATATAGGTATGTAGGCGTGAATGAACTGTATATCCGTGCTGCAGTGTTTCCGTCGCTACGTCCTTCTCAATCCCTTCCCAGAATTGCCGCCGGTGTTGTTCTGTGCATAGTACTCACATCTCAAGACTCCAGGTGGCACCACTTGCAATGAGATCATTCAGATGGCAAGGGAGGCTCTGTGATTAGATTTGGTGCGGAAGTGGCGGTGAAGCTTTTAGGGGTTCAGGGTTTGGGCTTGAGATTTTATGAGGATGTTCCGGATCAATAGGGTTCAGCGTCGCAAGAGTTCACAGGTGGCATGCTGGGGGGAAGAAGGTTCTCTTTGACAATGCCTGAGGGCGGTTTCATCGAATGTATGCTGTTGGGCATGTATCCAGGCACTCCTTTGCTTCCCGCCTTCAGGCTTGCCCCCCCTAAAGCCTAAAAAAAAACCCTGCACGCGGCACGTTTCACCACGCTTCCCCTCGTCTCTGCGTGTGCAGGAAGCGTGGACACCCCCAGCATCTTGTTCGGGTTTCGGGTTTAGGGTTTAGGGTTTAGGGTTTCGGGTCACAAACATTCCATGATTTCGGGTCTTGTGCCCGAAGCCGATAATCAGCAGTTTCTGTGTTTCTTCCACAACCGCGGCCAGGCAGGTGCAAGCCAAGTGTTCTTCGCTTCGGCAGCGCCCGCCGTGCGCTTTCCCAATGCAACCTGGTGGAATAGTACTTGCTTTTGAAAGCCTCGACAATGCCAACATCGTGCCGCAATGAAGGGCATTCAAAGACATTGTAAAGCCATCGAGCCGCTGCTGAGATTTCACTGTGTTGGTGCGAGATGCCTGAGTCCTGTCGTGGCAGGTTTATGGCATCGACCTCCCTCGAAAGGAAGATCTCATTGCCAACGGCCGGGACGAGGTACGGTTTGGCGTTGAGGGGTTCGCGAAACAGTCCAGTACCAGGGGGTGAACCCTGAACCCCTGCATCGACCCCCGCAATCCCTTTCTCTTTTTTGGAGCCACAAACCCCTGAGCCCAACACCCCGGAACCGAAGCCTGGAGCCCCGAAGCCCCAACCCTGCAATCTCGCATGTCTGTTCATCGGCAGCAGGCCGCATCTCCAGCTGAAACCGCAAGACTATGGCTAAAGGCTTAGGGTTCAGGGTTCAGAGTTGAAGCCCCGAATCCTAAGGCATCCAAATGTCGCACCAAGACTGAGATCCTACATGGAGTCAAGTTTACCTAGGTCCTGAAACGCTTCAGCTCTAAATCCCCGACCCTAGACCCTCTTCGAACGAGAGGTATCAGGGCCTGTGAGGATCATCTACACGAACTCGGAATCCTCGCGGTAGGAAACAATAACAAGCTTGCGAAGCCAAACGCCATAAACCCCAAAACCCTAAGCTTTTAAACCCCAAAGCCCTAAACCCCGAAGCCCCTAGGCACCTGATCCCCGAACCTTTAAAACTTATCCTGCAGTGGTGCAAGGGGGATGTGGCCAAGCTGATCGGCGCCGACTGGGTGGTCTACCAAGACCTGAACGATTTGGCGGGCTCTGGGTTTAGAGGGTTTAGGGAGTTTAGAGGGTTTAGGGGGTTCAGGGGGTTTAGGGGGTTTGGAGGGTTGAGAGGGTTAACACTAAGAGTACTTCCCGGGGCCCAGGGGGCCGCGTTTCATCCGAATGCCCGCATATGGCGCAGCCAAACCAGACGGTCCGGAATCTGCGACTTGTTGGAAGTCTCAAGAACTAGTAGCATTTCTTTTAAGTCTAGGGTTTAGGGGTTTAGGGTTTAGGGGTTCAGGATTTAGGGTTTAGGGTTTAGGGTCTATGCTTATCTATATTTTGTAAGATATGTGTCGGAATGTAAGAAGCTGCGCTTCGAAGTCCGAAGCCCCAGTAAATCACCCACTGGAAGCCGAGCCTTCCTGCAACATTCACGTAGTTCTCCTTCCTTGCCAGCTCCCTTCTAAGAACCCTTCTACAGACCCTGGGGCCACTGCACTTAAAAAAAAAAAAACCTATACCCTAAACCCTAAACCCTAACTCCTAAGCCCTAAACCTTCTAGGACTGGGAAGCCTCAAGAAAGCCTTTGAGAACGAAAGTGTATAGAAATCCTATACAGTTATGGGAGCCGGGAACGGACGCTTCAGAGGAGGGCAGCCTGCCCAAGCAAACCCCCGACCCGAAGGTGGAGTGTGTGCGCGGCCTCAATCCTGAACGACTGCGCTTCGGTTTCGATGCTTCTGTCTTCGACGGAAAGTACATCACAGGAGAGACTTCCGGGCCGGTAAACCCTAAACCCTAAGCCCTAAACCCCCAAGCCCCTAAGCCCCTAAACCCCAAACACGAAACCCGAAACCCCTAAGCCCCTAAACCCCAAACACGAAACCCTAAACCCCTAAACGCCTAAACCCCAAACACTAAACCCTAAACCCCTAAGCCCCCAAACCCCAAACACGAAACCCCTAAGCCCCTAAACCCTCCGGCGCAGGAGACATCGACCACAGGCCGGGCTGACCGTGCAAGTTCGGGGCTTCCCAGGTTTGGTCTGGGAACTCTGAAGCTGCCAAGTTATAGGGGGCTTTTGGGGGTTCAGGGCTTAGGGTGTAGGATTTAGGATTTAGGGGTTTAGGGTTTAGGGCTTTTGGGGGTTCAGGGCTTAGGGTGTAGGATTTAGGATTTAGGGGTTTAGGGTTTAGGGCTTCTGGGGGTTCAGGGCTTAGGGTGTAGGATTTAGGATTTAGGGGTTTAGGGTTTAGGGCTTTTGGGGGTTTAGGGCTTAGGGTGTAGGATTCAGGCTTTGAGGTTTAGGGTTTCGGGTTTAGGGTTTAGGGTTTAGGGTTTAGGGATTCAGGATTGAGGCTCTCAGAGTGTTAGGGTTTAGGGGTTCGGGTCCGACCAAGCCCAAATGCATTGTCCAAGGCCTGCGAAACGCATTTGGCCCCGGTTTCAACAAATCTAGAGCTCAACGCCGTCCCCAAACCCGAATATGTAGGAGTGAGATGCTCTAGTCCGGACTTGTTTGGAAGCCGTGCCTGCCTTGAGCAAGTGTGCGAGTCGAAACCGGGCCAACAGCTGTCTGAGATAAAAGTAGTTTACTGGCCTTAGATGCATTCTTGAATGTGTTCAAGCCCTACAATTAGAGGAATTGATCCATTGGCAGGACACCATAACAAACGTTGGATTATGTCTTTACGTCCATACTGTTTCGGGGTCTTCGCCGACACCAATATAGCTTAAAGGCTAAACCCTAAACCCTAAACCCTAAACTCCTAAACCCTAAACCCTAAACCTGGGTCTGGGGTTATTGTCGGGACTCCTGATGCCTGCAAGCCGATCGGCCTTTAATCCTTCAATCCTGAGTTTTATGCTCTGATCCATGCAGAACTCGTCTTCTTGCTAGGTTTAGTCGTTTAGTCTTCTTCCCTAAGCTCTAGACGCTAAACCCAACACCCCTTCCGTGCGCCCTCGTTTTTGTTGCCTTCCTGTAGAGTCGTGAGAGCAACCGCACTGGCATCGTCAGGCTCGTGGTGGCTCTTAACTCCATTTCTATTCTAGCCTTACATCTTGCCTTCTTCTCATTCACAGTACCGTCCTGACCCTGACTCCCTTCTTATGGTACTTGCATTTGCTTCTTTTCCCTGAATCACAAGAGCGCCTCTCCGGGAGCGCGGGGTAGCCGGGTAGCTCCTGCCCTGCGAGGTTCTTCGAGCAGCGGTCCCGTGAAGATCTGCAGACGCCGAGCCTTTCCGTCCCCATTGGCGTCTCCCAGTCGGTATCTGAGCTCGATGAGCAGGTCTTGGACAACCTCTCCGGGCCCTTGAAGGGGGCTTCAGAGATGGTGTTCCAAAGCTAGCTGTGGGCAAACTTGCTTTGGTCTGAAGGGATGCCCTGAGCCCTGAAGCTCTGAGTGTTGAAATCTAAGACCTTGCAATGACGATCCTCGCCTGAAGTCCTACAACCCCAAAGCTCTGAAGCCTACACCCTGAAAGCCTGAAAGCCCTGAACCCCAAACCAGGCTCGAAGGGAAGCCCCAGCCTTGAGACGCCAAGACAAAGCTTCGTGAGATCGTCCCGGCGGCATGGGTGGTGTAAAGCACAAGGGAAGGAAGTCTGCAGGCGGTAGACGTCGCGAAGCTTCGGAAGTAAGCCGACAGAGCAAAGCATGGAACCCCGCCGCGAGCCTTGTGCAGTGCCCGCAACACTTCGCAAAATGCACTCTGACGCTTGGATCCGAAGATTTGATGTTCGGCCATGGCCTCTTCTGGCGCTTCTGGAGGGGCGTAGCTTGCAACGACGGAAAAAGGGGGTAGGGCCATGGAGATGTGGGCTATTCTGTGTGACGTCGTCTCTTCACATCCAGCTCTATGCCATGCTTTGCCCATCTTGTTTTGTTTGGCGGGAGTGTGGCCAGTTTGCATGCGTTGCACCGACATAAATGCAGTCAGAGCGCTTTGCCCTTTATGGCATGCGCAGTGGTCAGTTTCTGTAGGACTGTAGGATGTTAGAGGACGGGTAGACGTGGGCAGGCGCACATCTTGTTCGGATCTTCAATCGAACTGGATGATCACGTTGTCAGAGTCCTTGATGGAAATTATACCAAAAACAGTGCTGTCTACTGAAATACTACAGTATATTCTATCCTGTATACTATACTAGCTATGCTATATACTAAATCCCGACGTCCGGACCCAATGTCCCGAGAGTCAGGGCCACTACATGCCGCGTCCGCACTGGGGCTCTCTGGCCCATGCTTGAGGACGTGACCTGGCGCCGAGAGCATGTTGGGGGTCGCGGGCTTCGGGGTTTTTGTGTTTCGGATTGAGGGTGTGGTCTTATTTTCGTACACTAGAACCGCACATGTAGATGTATATACATATATATATATACACACGCGTAAGAACGTATTACATATAACAGATGAGTTCAAAGCAAGTTAGGGCAAGGGGCTTCGTTGTTTTGCTATGCGGTATCCAGAGTTCCTCATGCCCAGACCGCAAGCCCGAAACCTCATCCACGGAGAATCCTCCACCCCGAGCATCAGACCCTGCACCGCAAACTCTTCGTATGGAAGAGCGGTCTAGCTTCTGGGGTGTAACTCTGCAATGACTTTGGGCCTTAACCCTACATGCTAAACAGATATTCTGGGTTTCAGAGCTGGCAAGTTGCGGGATTCCGGGTTAAGACTTTTTGGCCCCCGGTTCCGGGTTCCAAGGGCGTGTTCTCATTGCCAGCACCGTTATCCTTAGCATCATGCTTCTCACTGTTCGGATCATCGTCGTCATCCTGAGGGTTGCTATTGTGGTTATGTTCTTATCACCATCAGGAGCAGCATCACCAGCATTGTCGCTGTTCCTATCAGTCTTGTCATCGTCGTCCGAATAGTTGCCTTGACATTGTGAAATCATGACCAATCATCATGCCTGCCCGCAGTAACGTCAGTGCCATCATCGTTGCTACTGCCGCCAAGAGTGTTATTGCTATCAGACTCATGATCCATGGTGCCTGGACTCTCAGGGTTCTGAGTCACACGTAACGACGGGTTTTGAGATCTCAATCCGCTGAGGTGAGCCTGGGAGCAGAGGAAGCATGCGCTGACTGCAGTGAAAAAAAAGTGCTCGCCCTGGTGTAGTAAGAACTGGTTGTAGGATCCAGAAGAGTGGCATGGTGCGAAGCCGAAGAACAGGCCCACCTTGATGCAGCTTTTGTGGTGGCTTGGGGTTTGGGACGTGTCAAAGAAGTGGAGATCAAAGTAACGTTTTGGTGCGGAGACAGGTGTAAGCCTGCAACCAGCCGAACCGTCGATTGAAGGGAGGTTACTGCTGTTCTTCTGTCTTTATTCCTGCGATAACAATTATCACAGCCACCAAGACTGCGACTGCGACTGCTGCTGCTACTGCTCCTCCTCCGCCTCCTCCTCCTCCTCCTCCTACCACGACGACTACTGCTACTGCCATTACTAGTCTGGTTGTTGCTGCTGCTGCTGCTGCTACAACAACAACTACAACAACAGCAACAGCAGCAACAACAACTACTACTACGACGACGACTACTACTACGACTACAGCTATGACGACGACGACGACTACTACTGCTACGACGACTACTGCTGCTACGACGATTACTACTACTACTACTACTACTACTACTACTGCTACTGCTACTGCTACTACTACTACTAGTACTACTACTGCCACTGCTACTGATACAGAAACTGCTACTGCTGCTGCTGCTGCTACTGCTACTGTTACGGTTGCTGTTACTGCTACTGCTACTGCTACTGCTACGGCGGCTGCTACTGCTACTGTTACTGTTAC